CTGCGATACTAGTGCAGTACTCTACCAATTGGTAGAGCGCTGCACTAGTATCCTCTCTACTGCGAGGATCATGCATCATACGTATCTATAACCGCAGTTCAAAATATATGAACTTTGAAAGAGATTTTGAAAGAAAATTTAAAAACAGCTAAATAACATTCAACTTGGATTAATGGAGGGTATCCTTGCAAGTGAGGTACAATTTTGGCAACTACAGAAACTGAGCCTGAAAAAATCAGCCTTCAACAGGATTGGAACCCATGCTGTCTAGATATTAGTTGAATGCTACTGCTACTAACTGAGCTATGAAGCCACCAGTTGGGTGCAGGATGCATTTTGGAGGATTCAACTTCACTATGGAGGAATCTGATCTGATCTGATCCAAATCTGAGTATTGTTGACAATTTAGGATAACGGCATAAAAATTGAACATAATAAGAATGAAGATTAAATTATGGTAAATAATTATGTACATTGATGATGATAATGACAATAGTGATAAATATAGTGATGACAAAGATGATTAAACAATACAATACATACAGCGGAGGCTGCTCCAATCCCAGCCAGAAACAGACCATTTTCCTTCGGTCTAATTTTGAAGTACTCCATGTTTATAACTGGACCCAAGGCTTGTAACAACATTATTGGCATAAAGGAAGCCGTTTGTGCCACCAACATGTACAACACTTGTGGTATATTCAACAAGTCTAAAGTTTTTGTAAGAATAGACTTGTCTTGGCTTTTGGAATCTATTGAGGAAGTAACAGGGGAAACATAACGCATGCATTGAATAAGTTATTAGACATAATTGTTATCTTATTCACCTGCAGCTTCCTGCTTGTTCAGTGACTTTGTGTGTTTGGGTAAAAACATCTGTACTGTTATAACAGATACCAGCGATAATAGTGAAGCTAAAAGAGCCGTTGTATTGTCACCGAACTTTTCAGTTACAAAGCCACCAAGGAGTGGACCAGCCATGATTCCCAGAGAGAAAGCCAGACCAAGTTTACCCAAAGCAGCAGCTCTACCTACAGAAGACGGTAATCAGAAAGGCTAAGTTAGATCGGTGCCAGCATTGCAGACCTAGTTGGCATTTATTGTGAAGAAAAGGTAAAGTTACATAGAAATATTCACTTAGAGAAGTCAATGAGGGTTTGCCAGTCAGTTAATATTTCACAGTTAAGTTTATTGAGGCTACTAGAGTAAAAAAAAATTATAGCAATTATATTTTTCTTTACCTGCTTTATCTGAGGTATCAGTTATTACCATCTGTAGACCTGAAAAGTAATGTCATTGAGAGATCATTTCAATGAGGTCATTCCAAATTATCCCTACATTATCTACTGCAAGGAGGAACTGTTACAATCCATGGAAAATCTGGATTGGAAGGGGGAATGAAGGGAGATCTGAAGGTAGTATCCTCGTATAGAATTTATTAGAGGCACTGTGAGTAACCAGAATCTGGTTTTTTGGATGTGGTCTAAGCACATTTTTACCCCTTGGATACAACAATTCTAAACACTCATTTTAAACATGTAAGGCAATCAAAGCTAGCATGGACCTGCAGATACTTAGGCTAAGCCAATATGCAGGCAAGCTATGGATATGATTCATGTTATTTTTTCAAAAATTTTCCAGTAATAGTGAAAGGCCCTAGATGGCTACTGTGAAAATTTGGACAGCGTAATCATTTCTATTAATTAGTTTCCTACAGAACAGTTTTTCTTTTCCCACCTCAAACAACCTTCCTCTCCCTCTGTCATCTCTCCCCC